AGTGTAGGGGTATTTCTGTCTTTATACCTCGATTGATGTTGCTGATCTGTAATGTTGTGTTGAAACATGTGCTCTTAACTTAAGTAAGGGCACATAGGTCTTTTCAGTTATGTTTTTAATAGTAGTATAAATACTTACTGGCCGACTGGGAGAAGTCAAGTTACTCTTTCAGTTCGAACCAGAATTATCTCTTCTCTCTTTCTCTCTCTCTCTCTTTCTTTATCACTTTTTCTTCTTCTACATGACTGAACTCAGTCAGGCCGAACTCTAAGGCAGACCTGAATTATAACAGTATCCACCACAACCAAACAGAATACAAAATTTATCAATGCAAAACTGAATCAAGTTTGCATTGTACTTTTCAACCAAATCTGTGTTTACATGATACATATTCCTTTTGCACTTTTATCAGACTCAGCCTTAAGAACTTATTGGATTATTTTGACTGGCTAGTGGCTTCAAGGTTTTCTTTGATCAGCTTTTGACCCCATATTGGAAGGAGCACATTTTTTTTTGATGATTATGGAAGGATCACACTTTGTAGCATATCAAATATTCAACTGAACTTTTCTGGCAAAAAGGAAACTGAACCAAAAAGCTTTTGGTTCATATTTAGGCCTGAGAATCCATATCAAATACTCAACTGAAAAATCCTTATCCCAACTATCTTTGGCCTAGCCAAATCCTGTTTCAGGCCTTACCTCTGTTATACTACCTATAATGGTAACAGTAACATTAACATCTCCATGTTAAAGCAGTGACACGGAGAGAAAACCACTAGGAAGAATATAGTGATAGCTTCCTTAATTTTTTTGTGCATTCTTTGTAGGTGTTACTCTATATGGTGGACCAAGAGCTAGCACCCTGTTAAACATCACAGAGGCCCCGACATTTCATCATGAATACAATTCAATGGCTTGCACTGTTGAAATTGTGGATGATGTGCTTGCAGCCATTGACCACATACATCGTCATGGAAGGCATGATATATCTCCCATTTTCTTTATTCTTTCTTTTTAAGAAATGATGATATCTAGTTTTGTTGTATTTCGAATTGTTTGCAGTGCCCATACTGATTGCATCATTGCTGAAGAACGTGAAGTTGCAGAAATCTTCTTGCAGAAAGTTGACAGGTTCGAATGGTTGTAACTATAATTTTAGGGAACCTGTATCTCTGAACCTAACCACAAAGCCATGGTAGAGGTCTGCCAGGCTCTGACCCTAGGATTGTAACCTGTAGACAGCTCTAAAGTTTCTAGTTCCCATCATTCAGAGAATTTCAGTCTCATTCAAAGAAGTTGCTGACCTATAAAGAGCATTATGATGGGGAAGGATGTAACAATAGAGAAATTCTTATATTTAGATCCACTCTGTTTCCTTGACTTGGCTATACAGTTTCTCATGTGCTAAAATTTATCCACTGCTATTACAAGTTTTCAGTATTTTCACTGTCTTCTGTCACAATTTTGTCCAAATTTTTAGTTCATTTGAACATATAAATAACTCTTAGTTCTGATGTCTGATCGACCTTGGCAGTGCTGCAGTTTTTCATAATGCGAGCACAAGATTTTGTGATGGAGCTCGTTTTGGACTTGGTGCAGAGGTATTGATAATCCTAACGTTTTGCTGTTAAACACCATCTAAAATTGATACCTAGTCTCTTTTCTCATGATCACTGGTTCTTTGAACGACTGATCAGGTTGGAATAAGCACAAGCAGGATTCACGCTCGAGGTCCAGTTGGAGTTGAAGGATTATTGACAACAAGATGGTATGTACACATGTTGAAAACTAATTGTTGGTATATTTTAAGAGTAATTTAGATGTATGCTTTTTATTTTTCTACATAAATTTTATTGATTGTTCCTAACCCAACTTGGGGGTGAGCATTATTCAGTTAAAACCAAATTGTGTTCCCAGTGTCCATAATAATTTTTCTTTCAGATACTTGTTTGTTGGTTTTATTCTCTAATTGAAAAATAGAAGTTGGTTATGTCAATTTAAAATAATCATATTAATAAAATGCTCAATTTCATAATCTACTGAATGGAAAATAATTGGTTATGTTCTTTGGCACATTTGAACTCTAAGAAAGTTCAAGCCACTAAATGCCCTCTTTGCATATGGTCGGTTCATATAAAACAGTTATTATCTAAGGTTTCACACTATCTACATACATTTGAAAATGAAAAAAAAAAGTTACTAATGTTATTAAGCATTTGCTGGCTTGTGGTTTTGAAATATAGGATTCTGAGAGGAAGTGGGCAAGTGGTGGATGGTGATAAAGGGGTCATTTACACCCACAAAGATCTTCCGTTGCAGTCCTAAATGTTTTTGTAAGGAGAATTTGTCAAAAACTCTTTCTTTTACATCTAATAATGTTATCGTTGGTATTTCTTCTAACGTTATGTTTCTCACTGCTTCTTGCTGTACTTGTACGACTGTCGTTGGTTCTCTTTTGTAAAATTTGTTATTGGTTCGCATACCTTGAAAAGATGACATACATAGCCCACCACTATTATCTCACTCACTTTACATTACCTCGGTAACAAAAGCCCAAGTATCTTGGACATTGAAGGGAAAAAGAATAGAAACTATCAAAATCATGAAAAAGCAAAATCTGGCCGGGTCTGGTAGAACTGAAATCGATCCGACAACTGTCTCATATCGATAGGCTGAACCGATCATAATCGGGACAAGGACAATAGATTAGGAACTGGAATCAACCCATCGGTACTGATCTTGGAGCCAGAACCGGCCCAATCAGTTTGGGTCCATCGGGTTAGACCTATGGTTGATCAGTATATTAGTAGAATGCCACGAGGGGTCCTATGTTAGCTTTCTAACCTTGTATCTCTTTTGAATCAAGTGATTACATGAAACAAGTGATTACAGTTAGGTTTCTCACGAAATTTTTGCGAGAATTGCTCCATTTATTAGATGGTTAACTTGTGCATGTGCTTTATGTTAACAGCAACCGAAGCATTCAATTTGACGTGTAACCAGAAATGGATATAGAGCAAATGCGTATGCTTGCGCTCATGAGTCATGCCATTTTCTGGTTTTTATACACTGACTTGAAAGCCTGGCAGGTGATGACAGATAACTCCAGTATCAACCTTTGGTGTTAGCTGAAAGAGTTTCTAGTTGCTACTTGCTCAAGAATGGAGATTACTGGTTCACAATTTTAACAGTTGCAAATCTTGGCGGAAATTAGTGGAAGCAAAGGGAAGTAGCTAAGGCTTGTTAACTAGACCAGCCGTGTCCTTGGGCATGTTTGCTGCGGAGATTATGAAATATGCAGGAAAACTAATCGATGCTTGCAATCCAACTATTGAGCGATTTTTTAAGCGAGCCATGGTTTAGATGCTAGTATCCAAACTGCACAAGATTAAAGAGCGGATATTAAAGAGCATAGATTTGGATGCACTAGTGTATGGAAATTGACGCTTCCACATATGCCATATGATTTTTGGCCAGGGTCCATGTGGAGTGTCATCATGCTCCACACTGAAGAGGTAATAATAGAAAATATTAATGGGTTTCCCTTTCACCTTTTACTGAGAATGAGGTTAACAATTGATCTCTTAACATCTCAGATTCTCGTTTTAATAAATTTTCGGTAAATAAATGGTCGTTGGGCTTGGGCAATTAGAGGTGTAATGTCGGCGGGCCATGGCTAGCCACATAAAAAAAAAAATTGTGGGCCGAGGGCTGTGCTAGCCATTGCTATGTGCCAGCCTGTGGGCCTCAAAACCCTCAGCCCAACACAGCATGAGGTTTGGGTCAGGCGGGCCTAAGCCTAACGAACCACTTGACAGTAACCGGGCCATGGCCCAAGTAATGCTAGGCCATTCGAGCCCACATTACAGCTCTACAATGGATAGGGTATGATGGATCGACCACACACCCGAAAAGACACATTTTATTGAGCTAGAACATTGACTTTGCCTGCAATTGCTTTATGCTTGGTACCAAATGGCAGCAATTAGAACCAGCTATTTGGTTGCCATAGATATGAATAGACATTTTAGTATTAATTCCTTGAAGTAAAATGCCAAACAGACGATGCTAATCGTCCATAAATGTTTACCAATATAGTAAACAGACATGGCAGTAGTGTAATTGATGCATTACAGAGAGAAGGCCAATAAGTTTTGTACAGGTTGGGACCAATCCAAGACACATAAGAAGCAGAGATGACGTCACTGGCCCAGCTTAGTAAATATTTGCCACTATAGCATCGTTGCAGAATTTCTATCTTAATTCGTTTTTATCAAGTTGGCGCCATCACAGAGTTTTTATTTTAATTCGTTTTTACCAAATTAGCATTATAGCGAGATTTCGAATTTATATTTAATTAGGACTTTCTTTTTGAAGGGTTTTAATAGTATTCTATTATGGAGTGTTTTTTTAGGTTAGGATTACTCAATTAAGACTTTTTTTGAGAAGTTTTAGTAGGATTCTATTATGGAGTGCTTTCAGATTAGGAATAGGAGCCATAAGGGTGTATGCTTATATAAAGAGTAGCTAGGGGAAGGTTAAGACAATTTTTTATATTGAATTTTCTCTTAATTATTCAGTGGAGAATTTTCTTCCTAGTAGTTTGACTTCTGCTCTCTTCTTTGAAGCTTTTCTCAACGTGTTTTGTTTCCGTATTGCGCTAGTTGGTATCAGAGCTCAAGTTGATCCTTATTCGGATTATGGCTCCTAAGAAAAAATCAGTATCTCACATAATGGAGCAGGAACTCAACAACAAAACGCAAGAGGAGATGGCGGAGCTGAGAAGACAAGTTGAGGTACTTGCTAAGGAGGTGAAGTTGTTGCGTTCCCGGTTGGAAACATGGAACAATGACTCCAAGACAAGTATCTCCACACTTTCCCTTTCATCATCAAGGCAAACAACCAGATCGACTGTAGTTGCGGGTGGTGATCAGAGATGGTGGCAAGCAGATGTCAAGGTTGAGATCTTGGAATTCCACGGAGGCATGACTCTAGAAGAATTCATGGATTGACTCTTCGTGGTAGAAGAAATCTTTGAATTCAAGGAAGTTCTGGAAAATAATATTGTGTCATTAATAATCACTCGGTTTAGAGGACGAGCAGCAGCATGGTGCCATCAATTGAAGGTTATGCGACAAAGAAGAGGCAAAGAAAAGATTAAAACATGGGAAAAACTCAAGGCAAAGATATGATGTCAGAATTTCTACCCCATAATTATATCCGTTTACTTTATCAAGAATTGCAAAATCTAAAGCAAAGAATTG